TCTTCCGATTTGGGTACCTAGCCAACCTTATGTGACCTGAATTGGGCCTTCCTCAGAAGGTCTCAGAACTCAGTCTAGAGAAAGACTATAGCAGACTGCTTGGTCAAGCCAGTGTCTGCGCATTGGCAGCCAGCTGCTGTGTGCCCTGCCTTAACGAAACCCAGCCAAAGCCTCTCTGAAAACGGCTAGTAAAGGCATGTCAGCTACAAACCATTCAACTAGCTGTCAACGCCAGATAACTTGTTAGTGAGATATAACCTTGTAGAGCACGAAGCTTCAGCAATGAGCATTATTTTACATCTGCATTCAGCTGTAACACAGCAATCCTTCTCAGATGCTTTTTCAGTTAATTTTCTGTAGCTGTTAAGTCTGTACTGAAGAGCTCCTGACTCAGAAAGAGACTAGAAGCCTGCTTAATAATCAATGTTTTCTACAGAGATGACATTTATATTCCACAAGCTATGCAGCTTTCCGACCTATTGCAGGTTCTATCCAAAATCTGTTTTGAAGTACATAAATATCTATCTGTAAAGCTTGTGTCACAGTTTTCTTAACACTGACACTGCTTACTTGTCACTGAGACCTCCCAAGAGGCTGCTAAGAGGGTTTCATATATATTCTGCTTCAGAGAAAGCTCAACACAAAGCCCATGGCTAAGACTGCTGGAAAGGAGATGATTTTTAAGGATGAGGAAAGCAGGAAGGATGATCTGGTTCTTGAATCCAGGTGGACTTAGACTCAATTCTCTGCTTGGCCAAGACTTGAAGAGGAGCATTCCCATCTTTAAAGAGGGAACAGAACAGCTCTCAGCTTTTCAGGGTTGCATAAGACAGAGGATCTCACGCTACCAAGTTGGATCATGTAGGCTTCACTTACTGACAAAGACTCTTACAGATCACTGCCTGTTTGAAGCAGTATCTGATGTAAATGTTCTGCTCATCACGTTTTACATCAGGGTATACTAGCTCCACACACACGAACGACATTCCACCCGCAAACTGTCCTGTACCTCAAAGGTTTACAACACATGCAGAAGGAAAAAAAAAAACCAAAACCAAACACCAAAAAAACTCCCGGAAACAATAGCTTCTCAGGAAGTTACTGCAGCCTGTTAGTACTGTTGGCACTTACAACTACCCTGTACTGAGACGGAACTTCTCCCTGTAACGGGTTTTCAGCACTGCAAACACCTACTGTAAAACTCCTAGTACACCCACCTGTTTTCTTAAGGCACATGCTCATTGCAGATGTGCCACAGGATTAAGACTTCAGGAAGCGAGCGCTAGGCTTGATACAAATTAGTCAAGGTGTTAATATTAGTATTTATCTTTAAATAATTTTCTAGAAGCAATTGTGCAAGGAAGTGCATTAAAACAGAATAATCTTGCAAAAGACCATTAAAGTGAGAATCTGGTTTATGATGTAGTTCTGATGAAAAACAGCACTGAAGAAAGACTCTTGCCTGATAGCGATGGAGGCATCTCAGTCCTGGGAATGCCTGCTAAAATGATGTCAGAGAATCCTATAGTGCTATGCTAATGGAAGAAAAAAACAAAACCCTAAAAAGAGTACTTTAGAGTCCCTTTAGGTGGTGGATCGAATAAAAATCATAAACTTTCCCATTCTACCCACTCTGAAGTGTATGAAAAAAAAAACAAACAGTGAAAGAGTTCCTTTTGTCACCTATGCCATGTAAAAGTCCTGCTGACTAGCAGTCATACACATCCCTTCCTTCTGAATGACATCTGCTTTCACTGCATAGAAATGGGAAGAAACAAATCATACAAATACACCTCAGAAGTTCCTTCCAAACAAAAGGCTTAGGTAGCAAGTGTGCCATCCTGTAAAGAATAGCATAGCCTTGCTAAGTAGCGTCTTGGATATTACCATGGTTCTTCTCATTCAGCAAGTTTTTGGTGGCTGGCAGGAACATCTCCATGAGTTCAGGCACCTTTCTAATGACATGAACAGCGCACAATGCTGCCTGTATAGGAAAAACAGGCCTGTTAGTACATACTGTAATGACAATGATACATGTTTTGAGAACATCTAGCACAGTGGGAACTATCACAAATTTCATGATATAGAAAGGCCTGGAAAGTTTATGGTACATTTTTCCATCTCTCTGCTACAAGTGATACTAAACAGCGCCACAGAGAAGAGTTCAATAAAACTACCACGAGTGAGGAGGGAAGGGGGGGGGGGGAAAAAAAAAAAAAGCACTGAGCTACAAAAGTAATACTCCCACTAGCAATGGTTCATTTTTACATTATTCAATTCAGAAGCGGTAGTAACTGCAAAGCAGCTCTGCCTTTAATAGGGCTACTTCAGTCTGTCTTCCTGTTGCTAGGGAGGGGATAATGCATTGGAAGCAATTAATGAAATTTATGTCAAATTTATGGCTCATTTTCTTTCCCTTGAATATCATCTCCTTCCCCACAAAATAACTTCCTCCTGCAGTTGGTGGTCCCTATGAAAAACAAAAGTATACTGCAAAAAAAAAAAAATTGCCTACTTCTTCTAGGTGCAGAAGCAACAGGAGACACTATTCTTTGCAGCTGCTTGAGAATCAAGTGCACTGAGGGCCTCTTCCCAGAATACAGCAATACCTCCTAACATTGCTTTCTCTCCAATCTCTCTCTAGATCCAGCACTAGACAAAGAAGGAACAATGCATCTCTTCCTAAATCTCACTGCTTCCCTCCCTCCCCAAGACTTAACAATGAAATAAATTTAAAAGAACAAGGGTGATTACACTTTGCAGATGCTACAGCACACTTGCTATGGAAACGAGACAATTTGTAATTGCTTGCCCGTTTCAAGCCCTTAACCTTTCTATCCCACATACTACCATCATCATCATCAACAGAAGAGATCAAATAGATTCAAATCTTCAGATATCGGCCTGCACTGTTAATGATCAAAGTTTCTCTGGACTTATCTGAGAAGATACAGAAATAAAACTGATAACTAGAAGTTTTGGGGTTAGTGTCTGTGAACGGGCAGGCGTTACCATCGATAACCTTAAGGTAGAGAGCATCTAATTAGCAACAACTGCCTCACCTGTTGGAGGCTTGTCTTTTAGAGGCTTACACACACTCCTGCTATACACAGACAAGGAATTTTGACCTCTATCTGTCTTGCACACTGGGAAAATGCTCAGCCAGTGTGATCCAAGCCATCTAGTATTCCAGATATTAGCAAGGTATCCGATCAATCTTGAGTGTTAATCCATAACAAAGTATTCAAAAGTTCCCTGAAGTACCTTCTTCCTAAGATAGGAGTTGGAAGTTTTGAGGAGCTTTTCCACCTCTCCTGCAAGGTCTCTGCACATTTCTGAGGAGCCCATGCAGCCAAGAGTGCAGAGTGCCAGCCCCTGCACATATTGCGTGCTGTGATTAAGGTCACTGTAAAGGAGAACAAAAAAAAGCCAATCAGCATGCACACAGAGAACCTGAACACACAAGAAAAGGCATCTATATCTACAGTCATCTAAACAGCTGCACACGTGGCCCAGAAGAACTCTCCAGATTCTCAGCTATTTGGGAGCATGACTTAGGAGCAACAGCAGCTTTGAGTGCATGTGCCACAGGGTTTGCGATACTTCTACTTAGAATCCTCAATTATAAAGATAAAATACTTGGTTGAACCTATCACGTGGGTATCTAGGGATTGAGCTGAGAAGGAGGAAGACTACACAAAATTCCATTAAACTTCTGAAGTAAAGACAAAATGTTGTATTTTGGAATTTGCATGCAGAAAAGAACCTAACATGAAGTACAGTCCTGCAGTGACTCTGTGGGTTGTCCTAGTTTAAACATGCTCTAGGATAGGCTTTAGCTTTTGCATTTACAAACAAAACAGCATACAAAAATCTATGTAAAAATACCCTCTATCCTGAGTAAAAGCCACAAACCCCGCCACTCGCACACCTTGAAAATAATCCATACAGAAGCTTTTTTTAGCAATCCTAACTATTCATATGCCTAAGGAAGTTGCAAAAAGCGGTCAGTAGGAAGTTAAACCACCTAACAGTAGATGCTGTTCCTGAGGCCAGCTACCAACGTCACATTAAGTGCAAGACAATATAGCTTCCGCATGGCAATTCCAACAGCCTTTAAAACTGATTTCTACACTGCTTTTCCATCAGACTACTTGGTACTCATGTCACCACAGTATCCAGGATTCAATGTTCAAGAACATAAAAAATATGGTTCCTGGTTTGGGAGGCAAGGGGAGCTGGGGACCGCGTGATGGGAGAGCAGGGGAAACGAGTGGTACGTAACCAAATGCGCACAACATGCAGAAAAGCAAGAGACAGTATTCTGGTTGTAACATCAAGCAGCTATGGCAACATGCAGACGAAGGAACAGACAGCACATGCCACTAATAAATGGGTTGGTTTTTTGTTTCCTTCCTTTAACAAATTTTTGGCAGCTATATAAAGCTGTGTGTATAGCAAGTATGTGCTTTACAAGGGTGCTCGCTTTTTTTGTATCAAAAATCTAGGTCTTGCTATAAGATAATGAAAGACAATGCCATAAATCAAATACCTTAATGTCTAGATAAAAGCAAGACAAAGCAGTAGATGCAGAAGCCAAAGGAGAAAGCAATAAACAACCCACTGAGATGGTGGGAAGCTGTCCACCAGTTTTGCTCAGCTTTCAGTCTGACCCATTTCCAGTTCAAACTCACTACACCCTTACCACACAAATTCATTTTAGCATAAACACTCAAAAGAGGTGTTAACGTAGCAGCCCGGTTCTAATGGAAGAGCCTCACAGGTATGACATTTCAATGAAAAATCTTGAGCCAAACGTCTCTTCTCTCCTGGACACCAGGTCCAAAGTTAGCAGATCCTCAGGCCTGCGGTTTTGTCAAGTTTCTTTCCAAGCACTTTGAGGCCACAGTCTAACTGAAGATCAATAATTTACTTGCTAATATCTGGGAGGCTTATATTCTAAAAGTAAATAATAATAAAAACAGATACACCGCACACAACCAAGCAGGCATTTGGATAAATCAGCTAGAACCCAGTTGTTCCACTCCTGCTCCCATCCATCTTGAAAAGGAGTGTTACTGGAAATGCACCAATCATCAGCTACTGAACTAAATGTGAAACAGTCCCAGTTTAACACCATTTTGCTGAGAGAAAAAAAGTAATAAAAAAAAAAAAAAGATTGTTTCCCATCCTCTCTTGTCTGATTTCAGCAAGATGCCAAGCAGACCACACATCCCAAGTTGCTGCCTTGCTTCCAAGGAAAACCATTCATCAGGACCATTAGGCCAACCTTGAAAAGAAAGCAAGATACACAGCCTTCATCCTTGGAGTCAGACGACTCTTCAGAGCTCGTCAGAAGAAGGCAAGTAAACACAGGACAACATGGCTGCAGCAATATATATGACTGTGACACATCATGGCCAGTTCAGCCTATAAAGTTTTAACAGTGTTATAAAAACATCCTGATTCAATCATATTTAAAAGGTGCATGGACCTTTATTGATGCCGCATTACTGCTCGCCTGGCTCTTTCCTACTGCAGGCTGGAAGATAACTCATTTACAGAAATGGGTAAGAGTTCTTTACAACAATTAGAGGTCTTCTGCACTGGCTGAGCTGCTTACTGTGGTCATTTCATCCTCCTGATTTCATTTATCTTAACATGACCTCCAGAAACATGTACTATCACTCTGTAACAGTAGTTACATGAAGTGTTGTTTGCCACATACACCTCTTCAGGACCAATGCAATTTTATAGTCTCTTCCCTCTAAGGAAGCCAGACAGGATCATCCAATACAGTACAATACTAGAACAGTCTTGTACGGTCAACAGCATACAATAAATTGAAGATACCAGTTTTCTAACACAAGGGAAAAAAAAAATAAAGCACTCAAAATATCACTGTCAGGAGTGTACTTTCATATCCTGAAACCTCAAAGCATGTGTTGATGGAGAGAGAGGTGGTACCCTTACTTCTTGATGCAATTGGTCATAAGAAGATGGACATCCTGTCTCTCATCCAGCAGCAACATGGCACCTAAATACCCAATGCGCTTGTCTGTGAATTTCTGAGAGGCAATGAGCTTGAGGCACTCCAACTGGAAAAAAAAAGGAAAAAAAAAAAAAGAAAAAATAAAAAGACAGAATTAGCTTAAACTACTTAGCTAGAGGAGAAACAGACTGAGTTTTGATGTTTACTCATTTAGGTCTCTCAGAATGCATTTTTTAAAGTATATTTTATTCCCATTTTGGTGATGTGGAAAAAGAAAGGTTAAATGACCTGCCCAAAGCTCCCAGCAAGCCATCAAGAAAGTCATTAGCACCTCCTGCATCTTGAAGTAGCCAGACACTGTTGGCCTTCCATGACTTCAGATATACCAGATATGTGCATTTATGTCAGATCACAAAAGTAAAAGGTAACATATTTATAGAGACAACAGATCCGTCATTAAAAACAAAATAGTAAAGATCTGGAAATCTAGATCATGTGCCATGTTCGATATGCACTGGATACTTCTGAACCAGGCTTAAATGGGTCCATCTACCTACCAAAGGGAGGACCAACGCTCTGTAAGTGAAGCTGTCAAAACCAGTTTTTGTTTATTATGATCTGTAACTAACTTGCTAGCTAGGTAAACCTTAGATACAGAGACAGTTAAGTTTTTGTGCTGCTCCATAATCTCTATTTGAACACCTGAAGTTTGACTAAAATCATACGCATTGTAGCCACTACAAGCTTCCCTTTCACCATGTAGAAAGGTCAACTGTGTTCAACAGCAGAAGGGAGATCCCTAAGGTAACATGCATAGCTGCCACTTGCCCTCAGCTGATTAAGAATTTAATTGCTAACCCGTTTTTCAACTTAACACTTTCTTACTGCAAAAAGAGACATCAATGGCAGAGATATCCCGACATTTCTACGCACTGCAATATTTTTCTCTACCAGGTAACTAACCAGGCATAATCAATCTCTGCTTTCCAGACAGGAAGTAGCAGAAATGGCTTCTCAAAAGAGGTAAGAGACCTATCCCTCACAAACACATCCCATAAGTCTGTTTTACAAATTAGCTGGGGCAGCAAGTAAGCATACACAATGGTTTTAAGGAGGGGTCAGACAAAGCTTGCAACAGATCCATTTTAAAGGAAGTAACGGGGGCATGCACAGGCAAAAATACAGGGTGCTGTGGAAAGTTTTTCATGGTCCCTAGCTATAGGGAAACTTGAACAGGGCAACAGACACAGGTGAGATGCAAGAAGCACGCGCACATCAGGAGGGTAAAGTTGTACAGGATACCAGTAAGAAAATTAAAGTTGAAGTGCCAGAGAAAGTAAGTGCTATGGCCTCGCCACTGACGAGTTCTCACAACTGCACGGCATCAGAACATACAACTCGGCTACGCAAGAAGGTGTCACATGTGAACACCCAGCTAGTGCAGGGTGACACACTGATAAGAAAAAGCTTGAAAGAAAGCAATTTCAGTTTGCTAGGTTTAAAGGGGCTGAAAATCTAGAAGAAAGAAACACCTCTGAACAATAAGATCAGTCATCCACAAGGATAACTGAACTTGCACAAATGGGCCAGATCAACCAGGGATAAGGTACAGAACACTAGATATCGACATCTTATCTTTCCAGTGCTTTCTGTAAGAGAATAATGCACCTCTGAACCAACTCTCTTCCCCAGGTTTACAAGATACTTTCTTATACAACCCTCTGCAAAAATGCAATGTAGAATTGATGACATCTAAGCTACAGTGTAAGAGCCAACAAAGGCAGAAGACGAACAACTAAGAAAAAGCAGAAGGAAACTAATGACTGCAACAGACGCTGTAAGATATATTTCCAGTACTTTTGAATTTGAAAGATGTTATTGAAATTTACCCCATGAAAGGCTAATGAGTTCTTGTTTCACTTGAATACAAATACATGCAAACTAGCTTCATGCACAGCAATACTGAGAAACATGATCAGCTGAAGCTCTTGCTAGGTCTAATTAGTGGAAGAAATCTTGATACCATTATAGCCATTACATTCAAAGGAACAATTAAAATCTGCTACATCAGTACTGGAACATACATTAGTAAAGCTGGATATGATACAGGCACATAGCCAGACTACAACTTACCCAAGTTTTTACTGACACAGTCACTCTTCCAACTGGGTTTTTTTTAAGCAAGTAGAAATAATGACAATAATAATAAAAGTTATGTGATCATTTGCCCAGGCTGCCTGACACCTTCTAAACTTGCAAAATGGGCTTTGCACATGCCCAGGAGACAGCTTGCCAACCAGTGCATCTCAGTGTGCACTATGGTGTTGATGCTCATATTTCTGTACAAGATATCCTGGACCAAAGCTGAGGATCCCTGGCTTGGAAAGAAGTAGATCAACCATCCACTACTTCTGACGCCTTCTCTAAATTCTCTTTTATTGTTGGTTACCCCGTCCACACTGCTAGCTGAAATCTTTAATCTAGCTTACATCTTTAAGAGAGACGGTCTAACACAGCCTGGGGCTCTCTTCTGTTTTTCACCAAAACGCATTTCCTGCGTATTTATCCTGTCACTCCCAGAAACTGCCTGTCTACAATGCTGGACCGTCTGTCTAGAAGACTCCACTGCTGGAACAGCGTGTCTTCAACAGGTCCCCAACTCATGCAAACTATACTCTACCTACACAACATTTAACACTTCGAAAGATTCCTTCCAGTTCTAAGCATTGAGGACATGCAAAGGTCTGCAACTTACTCACTTGGCGAATGCTTGTTAAAATCCCTTCTCAGCCTCAGGCTCTATACCTTCCTGAAAGCGCAGCTGATGAACTACATGAGAACCAAGGCCATCAAATGAAGTACTCTGTTCCCAAAAGAGTCAGCATAGATGCTTCTGTTTGAGATGTAGCAACCTCAGCAATAATAGTTATTGAATAATTTGTTTTATCCTTCTTCCACTGAGAGTGAAGAGGTAATTTACCATTACCGACCAAAGCAGAAACTGAAAAACTATTAGATATCTGGTCTAATCTTCCATATATGGGATTAAATACTTGAGTACCAAGATAAAATAATCCAAATAAAATTTAAACATGTTCCTAACATAGGTCAAATGTAGAAATTCTAGATCTTACACTTATCTGTAACACTTTTCATTCTTCTTGCAGCTCTTAGATACTTAGCCTTAATTTTTGTGACAGGAAGTTTCGCTCTTGGACCAGGGAGCCTGGCTATGTGAAGCGTTAAGAACAGGATAATACACAAATTCACTTGCTCTTCTGCAACAACTCGTTATGCAAGAAGAATCCAATGATGGAGAAGTAAGATGATGAACTTTATATGCAATAACACAGCCCAGACTCACTCCCTAACACTAGGGCTATTTGGAATTTGATTTCAAGTGGTTCGAGTTTACTGTTTCAGTGAGACATGTCAGGATTGGTAAATCCAATCATGAACAGATAGACTCCCAAGAGCTGAAGCTACTCGAAGGGATACAACAATTTGACTGACTTTTTATTTAGCTTTATGGAAGGCCTAGGTTAGATTACTACTAACAGGACACTTAGTGACTTCTAAGCAAAACAGACTATGCCCCAAAGACTAAGCAACACTCAACCTGAAGAACATCTTGTAGATCAAGAACTCCCACCTTCCTGTCTCCTTTTCCCACAATCTACCTGTGTCAAAAATAAGCCAAGGATGGAAAACTCGTACCAGCATTCTCCAAGTCACCTCATTAAGATGGGGATAAGGAACACCAATTTCTTACTGCTGGGAACAGACCAGCTCTTATCTGCCTGGAATAGATTGCTTTAGAAGGAAAAGGGTATAGAACCTCCTTTGAAGCATCTGGTCTTTTCCATCAGACACAGAACTCCAAAGTCCTGTTTTGAACCCATCTAGAAATATCCGTATGTACTGGACTGTGGTTTAAGAACTACTGCTCTGCAGAAACATGGGTGGTAAGGAGCAGTCAGTCTGGCAAAACCAGACTAACCCTAAGTTTCATAACAAAATATGCACAGCAGATCTCACTAACAAAGTCAAAACTAACTAATGTAGGTTCAGAACATATGTGAAGGCGGACCTCAAAACATCCCCAAGAGCAGACAGCAAAAGTGCAGCTAGGAATGCTCTGAACAAGTCAATGTGCTCAAAACACACAAAGCAGACTGGCATATGCACATAGCACAGCAAGCGTTGGACTCTGACCTACCTGTCCAAAATGTGCAGGGTATCCCAGCATGTGCATATACAGCAGCTTTGCCACATTTCTGCATCGGTATGTGTTATCTTCCTCTCGGAAGGATGACCGGATAGCAGCACATTCCTTTTGGATCATCTCACGCTCTTCTGCCTGGGTTCTTGCTGTCCGGATGGTCCGGATCAACTCCCGCAGTCTGATGGGGGCTGGCATCCTCTGTGAGGAGAAAGAGATCTGTAAACCTTGTACTGTACCTAAAGGCTTCATAATGGTCTCATACTTTCACATATTTTTTTCTTTCTCACCCTACAATTATATAAGTAGAAGAATCAAGAAAATGTAGACTGCTTCAGTAGTATGATTAAAAGTAAACTTGAAAACCAGAGGAATTAATTGTACCTCACATTTGCTTTTCCAGAACATTAGAAACAGGAATGACTAAGCTTTGAGCTAGCTGTCAGGTGAACATAACATGAAACCCAGCTGTGCAGATATTTCAGAGAATCTTCTTTTAAAAGTAAATAAATAAATCAAGTCGATACCTTCCCTTTATTATACACCAAACAAAACAATCCTTCTAAAACAAACAATCCTAAGCTGAAGTTGCCGGGGGAGGGGAACCTCAGTCCCTCGCACTCCTACCAGTTGGATGCCAGTGCCAGCAATAGATGCCCAGAGCCTGGAGAAGGATCACAGGTCAGCAGGAGAGCACCTGAAGAGCAGCACAAAGGAATTCCAGCCACTCCAGCCAGTAAGTCAGCTTCATCAGGAGCCCAACTTAAATGCCTCTATGCAAACGTACATAGCATGAGGAATAAACAAGAGGAGTTAGACATGCACGCACCCGCCGATCCATGATCTTATTGGCATCACAGAGACATAGTGGGATTGCTCCTATGACTGGAGCGTTGGAATGGAAAGGTACAGGCTCTTTAGGAAGGACAGGCAGGGGAGATGAGGAGGGGCTGTCGCCCTCCATGTCAATGACCAGCTGGAGTGCATGGAGCTCCGCCTGGGGATGGATGAGGAGCTGACCGAGAGCTTATGGGTCAGGCTTAAAGGCAGGGCAGGGACAGGTGACATTAGAGTGGGGGCCACCCGACCAGGAAGACTGAGCGGATGACGCCCTCTATAGACAGATAAGAGCAGCCTCACGTTCACAAGCCCTGGTCCTCATGGGAGACTTCAACCACCCTGATATCTGTTGGAGGGACAACACAGCAGGGCATAAGCAATCCAGGAGGTTCCTGGAATGCGTTGATGATAACTTCATTCTCCAAGTGACAGAGGAGCCAATGAGGAGAGGTGCTATGCTGGGCCTTGTTCTCACCAACAAGGACGGGCTGGTGGGGAATGCGAAGCTCGAGGGTAGCCTTGGCTGCAGTGACCATGGAATTGTGGAGCTCAAGATCCTTAGGGCGCCGAGGAGGGCGCACAGCAAGCTCACTGCCCTGGATTTCAGGAGAGCAGACTTTGGCCTCTTCAGGGATCTGCTTGGTAGAGTACCATGGGATAAAACCCTGGAGGGAAGAGGGGCCCAAGAAAGATGGTTAATATTCAAGGATCACCTCCTCCAAGCTCAGGAGCAATGCATTCCAACAAAGAGGAAGACACGCAAAAATGCCAGGAGGCCTGCATGGATGATCAAGGAGCTCCTGGACAAACTTGGAGACAAAAAGAAAGCCTACAGAGGGTGGAAGCAAGGACAGGTAGCCTGGGAGGAATACAAAGAAATTTTCTGAGCAGCCAGAGATGAGGTTAGGAAAGCTAAAGCCCTGATAGAATTCAGTCTGGCCAGGGATGTCAAGGGCAGCAAGAGAAGCCTCTATAAGTATGTCAGTGATGAAAGGAAGACTAGTGAAAATGTGGATCCTCTCCAGAAGGAAACGGGAGACCTGGTTACCTGGTTACTCAGAAGGCTGAGGTACTCAGTGACTTTTTTGCCTCAGTCTTCACTGGCAAGTGCTCAAGCCACACTGCCCAAGTTGCAGAAGGCAAAGGCAGGGACTGGGAGAATGAAGAACCACCCACTGTAGGAGAAGATCAGGTTCGAGACCATCTAAGGAACCTGAAGGTGCACAACTCCATGAAACCAGATGAGATGCATCCACGGGTCCCGAGAGAACTGGCAGATGAAGTTGCTAAGCCACTATCCGTCATATTTGAGAAGTTGTGGCAGTCTGGTGAAGTTCCCACTGACTGGAAAAGGGGAAGCAATAGCTCCATTTTTAAAAAGGGAAAAAAGGAAGACGCAGGGAACTACAGGCCAGTCAGCCTTACCTCTGTGCCCGGCAAGATCATGGAGCAGATCCTCTTGGAAAATATGCTAAGGCACATGGAAAATAAGGAGGCAATTGGTGACAGCCAACATGGTTTCACTGAGGGCAAATAGTGCCTGACAAATTTGGTGGCCTCCTATGACGGGGTTACAGCGTTGGTGGATAAGGGAAGAGCAACAGATGTCCTCTACCTGGACTTGTGCAAAGCATTTGACACTGTCCCGCACGACATCCTTGTCTCTAAATTGGAGACACATGGATTTGATGAATGACCACTCGGATAACGAATTGGCTGGATGGTTGCACTCAAGGAGTTGCAGTCAACGGCTCAATGTCCAAGTGGAGATCAGTGATGAGTGGTGTTCCTCAGGGGTCGGTACTGGGACCGGTGCTGTTTAACATCTTTGTCAGTGACATGGACAGTAGGATTGAGTGCACCCTCAGCAAAATTGCCGATGACACCAAGCTGTGTGGTGCGGTTGACATGCTGGAGGGAAGGGATGCCATCCAGAGGGACCTTGACAGGCTTGAGAGGTGGGCCTGTGTGAACGTCATGAGGTTCAGCGAGATCAAGTGCAAGGTCCTGCACATGGGTTGGGGCAATCCCAAGCACAAATACAGGCTGGGCAGAGAATGGATTGAAAGCAGCCATGAGGAGAAGGAATTGGGGTTGTTGGTTGATGAGAAATTCAACGTGCCCCAGTAACGTGCGCTTGGAGCCCAGAAAGCCAACCGTATCCTAGGCTCCATCAAAAGAAGCATGACCAGCAGGTTGAGGGAGATGATTCTGCCCCTTTACTCCGCTCTCGTGAGACCCCACCTAGAGTACTGCATTCAGCTCTGGGGCCCCCAACATAAGAAGGACATGGACCTGTTGGAGTGAGTCCAAAGGAGGGCCACGAAGATGATCAGAAGGCTGGAGCACCTCTCCCCAGGTTGGATGGGGCTTTGAGCAACCTGGTCTGGTGGAAGGTGTCTCTGCCCATGGCAGGGGGGGTGGACTAGATGATCTTAAGGTCCCTTCCAACCTAAACCATTCTGTGATTCGATGATCCTGTCACATTACTGTCTGGTGGCACTGGTACAAAAAAGAGTGTGCAAGAAAAGTGTATTCCACATGAACTCCAAGTAGTTTCACTTCACCAGATGGAATACTGATGGAGCCACCTGAACTAGAGAACAATTTAGTCTTCCGAGTATTCCTCAAGAGGAAAATGGCTCTTAAAACAAAAGCCGAACTTCAGAATTATGTTCAGCAGTTGAACTTTTTAGTTCACGCTCACCAAAGCAAACTTTTGACTTTCTGCGAGATCAAATGATGCAAGCATCTCTACAGTCATCTTTCGTCCACGTTAGACTGCGACTATAACTAAGCCATTCTGATAACAGATAATGTCGCGCCAACTTGTAAAAAGTTGCCGTGGCAGTCTGCTACAGATTTTGTCTGGGTCACCGTCCTCCCAAAACGGTGTGTCATACGTTTTAAGCACTGCCATATCAGAAGATGACGTGCATTCAGATGCTGCACTAACTGGCTTGCATGACACCACAGAACTGACAGGCTGGGAAGCATACAGAGCTAGCAGGGGAAAAGCAGAGAGAGATGCACGTAAAATGAGTAAAGGTGGCCTCACAGTAAGACAGCTGAATGCAGCTCTATAGGTCTGGATTATAAATCTGGTCTCCTACAGCATTCATACATAACACTAAGTTTCTTTGGTCAAACCATGTAGACTCCTCATATACCAGTTCCCCATCTTCATACATAGAAAGTCTGAATTTACAGAGACACAAAGCATTCAATTCTGAAAATGGAAGAGTAGCGATGTTCTTTGTGCATAAGGAAACTGTGCCCCAAAATACCAACACGGGTAGGATCAAGATTATTGGACACATTAACCCTCAGTCTTACCTTACCCCTCCATATGAATTTATAACACTTCCTCACATTACTGTGATATGAATAAATTAATGTTTACCTATGCATTCAGATGCTGCACTAACAAGCATCACAGAAATGGTCAAGGGGAAGTAAGAAATCCGTCTCCAGAACAGTATTTGAACATGCAATAAATAAGGCCTTTGAATGTGGCAGTCATGTTCTTTTAATGCAGCTTGTAATGCTCCTACGCTGAAAAGATCTTCCTCACACAGCATCGTATCTACATGCGTATGGGGAAGCCTTTAGTTAGAGGAGTCTTTAAACCCTTACCACAGACCTCTGCTCTTCAGCTAACAGTACAAGTGATAGCGGCAGAACTGTGGTCTTTCAGCAGCAAGTTAAGGTTGTAGGATCACGGCAAGCAGAACATGAAAACCCTGCAGAGCATTAGGAGCAGTACATTGAGACGCTCCTATTGTACAGAGTCTCTGGAGATTTCGGACGCCGAAGTGTAAGTCTCAAAGGAGCACGTACAAATCGTTTTTGCAAACATTATTCGGCCAAATTGGAAGACTATTTACACCAGTGCAACAAAATACACATCCTCAGAATAAGAGGACAACTCCCCAGCACTCATACTGGAAGTCAGCCAGAAACAGGAAGGTTTCAAAGCTTTTCAAAGAAAAGGTAGTTTAATTTTATTCATTTCCCGCTGCATCCCCCCTATCCACACATAATAAAATACTTTTCCTACCTTAAGAGAACAAAATACTTTTCTAAAATCCTGCAAAAAGCCTCTGATGCATAGCTTGCTTGGGAAATTTCAGGATGAGCAACTTAGAACTATTAAAAAAAAAAAAGGAAAGCAACTAAAAACATGGATTTAAATGGCTTGTAAAATTAAGGTAACTGGGCAAGAGTTAATTAGTCCAAGCTAGAGTTCCAATATAGCACATACTAGTTGTTTCCTAGCTGTTGTCTGGTTGTGTTGCTTTACGCTGCGGTAATTTACTCCTAGTAAAAAGGGACAAACACAGATTAACTGTGTGCTA